AATATATCAAACTGGGGATATTTAAGAGAGGATAGAGGTTTGAGTCTGCTTTAAAGAAGAATTTTATTTAGAGACAATTTAATTTGATTTCTCCCAGTAGCAGGGACCTAACGCTACATTTTAATGAGTATAAAAAGCATGGAAACCGTTCAAATCATATTTACCTGCTTATTGGCACAGAACAGGTGAGAAACCAATCTGTCTGAGGACATCAAGTGAACCAAAGGCCATCCCATGGTGGCTGATTCAAATTGTTTTTGCTGGAGCTGATGTAAGTTATCGTTTTTGATTACTTGCATACCCCTTACAAATGGAGCCCCTCTGTCTCTCAGTGAGGTCTATAAGCACAAGATCTATATCCAGCCATTCAGCAAACATGCTGCTACAAGGCTTTACATCTTAGCTTGGCATTTGACCAATCAGATGAGCCCTTGAATCATACATTGCCTACTGTAAATTAAGGAGGAACAAAATAGTCAAGAAAAAGAAAGGTAAGAAGCTAATTGAAAAGTTAAATAGTAAAGTTAAACAGTTAATAAGCCTAGTTAACAATTATATTTAGGTTTATAAACTAAAAAATGTAAGTGTAAGTAGCAGTATTAATGCCTCTAAGGTTATGTTGTACCAAAAAAATGTTTCTTTTACTCTCAGAGTGTTTTTCATGAATTTCTTATAAAAGCACCTTTAATATTCATTATATTTGGGCAAGTTGCCGTTTCTTGTTATTACATTGACATTCCATTTTGGGATTAAAATATCCATTTTCTTTAAATGTTACAAAGGTAATAAGGTATTGTCCTGGATTCTAATAATACTGTTGGCTTGAAATTTGGATTTTCAAAGGATTTCGCTGAGTGCTCTATAAAGGGCTACCCCAATATAGCTGCTGTAGTGAGATGAAAAATACAAATCAAATATAATCTAAAAATATCCAGTTTTACAGATAGAAGAAATGAGCAGATTCCAATTGTGCAATGCTTTGTTGGACCATAAACCATGATATTAATTTTGAAAATCGAGGACCAGTGTTCATGTTGACTTTTAACAAGGCCACTGGATTTGAAGGAGGCAGTTTTGTCCCACATTGGCTGCACTAGAAGTCTCACTCAAGAGTCTGCAACCATCCCCCGGCCCAGGACAGAATCACAAGAAACTCCCATAGAGGTGTGCCTTTGTCCCCTCACAGTGCCTTGAGGAGAAAGTACTGTCTCATTTCTCTCTCTCTTTCCGTGAAGCTGTCTGTGGTTTCACATTGGAAAAGGCACCAGCATTGAA